ACTTAAGTATTGTTCGCCGAAGGTTTGTGTATTTGAGTTACCACTATACACAAATCAAAAGTCGTTGTATCTTGGAGGCGTTAGTCGTGAACCGTGGGTAATATACGGGGCTATTTCGTCTTAAGGAGAGCGTATCTTACGTGCCTCGACTTTGTTCGTTTTATTAAAATTCCTTCTATTTCTTAAAACCATTTTCTTGAAATTCACATACAAAACAAAAATTATAAACTACAACTTTGAAGCATAAATTACATCACTCTTTTCACATACTTTTTGAGTTTTTGTTACGAGGTTACGAAGTTATTAAGCGCAGGTCAACCTGTCATATATCTTTTTTAAAATTACACACTCTATAAATGGAATATTATAAAATATTTTAAAAATATTTGATGTTTTAATTTTAAAACTCTTTTATATATAATTTCAGAATATGTTGAGCTAAGTGGCAACTTCGCATGCTTCGAGCCTTCGATTATAATATAACTCGGATAAAAATTACTATTTTCTTTATGCCAAATAGCTTAGGTTTAAATTGTCATAAATACACATATTTAATAAACTATAATATATAAATGTATTTATTATTTTCTTTATATAAGTGCATATTATCTTACTTTCTAAATTTTGTGTTTTGTCCATATTATTGTCTTACTTGTTTTAAATCAAAATATTATAGATAAAACTTTGAAAAATGCTACATGTACATAAAGATGTACATAACACTCACATGGAGTGGGGTCCACTTGATTTTTTAATTTTAGTGGGTCCCACTCAATATGAGTGTTATGTACACCTCTATGTACAACATTATGTACCTATAACATTACTCAAAAACTTATAATGTATATAAATTAGTTTTTAGAATTTAAAATAACAATATTAATTCACTTAGTTATTTATTATAAAATTTTCATATATTGTTTCTTATATATTCTTGCGAGCTTCAACGAAATATATAAATTTTTTCTTCAATTTTTGTTGAACATTTAATTATTTTATCAACATCTGTATAGAACACGAGTATCGTATTAGTATATATATATATAATTATGAATGCCTACACATTATATTTATTTTTTCAACTTCAACGACATAATAAAACATTTTGAAATGGTGGGCTCAAAATCTAAAAACACACCTAAAATTTGGCAAAATATGAATTGAATGACAAGGCATTATTATTTCATTATATTAGTGCACACAACACAAAGTTTACCCAAAAATGGGAAATTGTTAGTTGAAAGCATGACAAAAATCTCAACAAGGGATGAGGTTAGAACCCATATATCCCTCACATAATTATTGATTTTCAAAGTTAGTCGTTGTTGTGGAACAATGGCTAAATACGATTCTTGATGAAAAGCAAATGATTGCGATGTTTTCTTACAAATGGTAACCTTAAATCATCACTAAAAGTCAAATGAAAATGAAACACAAAAGGTGGGGTTGAATAATTGCAATTGATTCCCCACACACAACATACACACACACAAAATAAAAGTAATAAACAAATAAATACTATTGATAGACTATTGATAGACTATCCCTAGACAAACACATTTACTTTATAAACAAAAAAAAAAAAAACATTCTTAGACTATAAAATATCACATTATTATTTATATTTTAAAATATGATACTTAATCAAAAAAATGTGTACATTTATTACAAATATATGATTGACTAACAATTTGACATCATAGTTGCACAAATTCAATATAGTCAACGCAAGAATGTCGTACGCAACCATCTACAAATTGATATATTGACATGTATTTCAAATGTATTTATTTTGTGAACATATATCAATACACTGTTTGTAATGATTGGAATGTTCCCGTAAGACATGCCATCCGAATCTCCATTTATAATAAAATCGAATAAATCATAAAAGAATCATCCTTAAATTGATTGTACTAACACGTGTTCCAACTGCATTTATTTTAAGACGCGTCTTAGTACGTAAGTCGATATCCGAATTCACTTTTCTATCCCCTCAGAACAGGTGTCCACAGCCAAAAGACGAGTCAACGATGAAACCAAAAGACTCCTCGACAAGTATATCGAGTGTCAGACAGATCAGGAGAGTGACCCGGGATATTCCCAAGTAGCCGAACTCCCTTTAGGACAATTTGCCGGAGTGGAATTAATTACTCACAAGACATCAACCCACCAAGTTGTCGAGCACGCGCGTTAATCACATAAATCTCTGATCTGCACAAAGATTCGTGTCGTAATCATTAGACATTAAATGCAGTTGTACTTTCAAAAATTAGAAAAAAGATTGTACTATAAAGACATACGCACAGTGAAAAAGACCAAACAAAATTCCACTTCGACATATATCCAACCACAAACAACCATGAGTAAAGCCATACCATTGTAGCAAAATGGAACCCATAGAATACCAACCAAAATAAATAATTTCAACTTGTACTATGAAAAACAGAAAACAAGGAGAAGAAAGACAAAAAGGGCCCCCCCATAAATAAAAAAAGAAAAGAAAAATAAAGAAAATGACACGGACACGAAAACTTGCCCCCACCGCCACTCGTAGTCTCATGAATCATGAGGGAACTCCCAACCACAGTTAAAGCCCTAACCATAGTTAGTTTGGTTACCGTCTCGAAGCCCCACACACAAGGCACACGCACTGAGGGTGCGCACCGTGCAGTGAAAATGGAGACAACCCAACCACGTCCTGTGAAAAACCAATGCACATTTTACGGTTTTTACCAATCACAGTTTTCAATATAGAGAGAGAAAGCAAAAAAA